GCCCCCAGGGGCGAGTGAGCCCCCCCACTTCAGCCCCAGCATCCTCTTACCTCACCTCCCCCCCTCTGTCAGGCTAGGGAGGTTGTAAAAAAGACAACCCTGGGGGGGGGGGGGCGGTGCTCCTAGCCTAGGGAGGCCGGTCCTAACTCCTCTATACCATGGCACTTCAAAGCCACCTTCAAGAAGGGTATGGCCCAAGTCCAAAAATATTTGCACCAAAAGAGTGAATCACCTTGTAGGGAGCCCCATAGGGGCTAGGGGTTTCCAGAAGCAGACACCAGTTCTCAGGAAAGCAGGCAGGAATCCAGGGGTGGGAAGGCCACCAGAACCATCAAGAGACCAAGGCAGGGAGGGTTAGCATCACCACAATGGCTTAACCCAGACAGGTCTGACTTGTGCTGGGCTCAGAGATGCAGAATTAAGTTAGGCACAACCCTTTCTAAGGGACACTGGCTCCATAGTGACTGGGGCTGCAATGCATAGAGGCCCCTTACCCAGCAAGAGTGGGCAAGTGTTAGAAAGGCACAGGCAAGAGGAGCAGAGGCTTGAAGGTTGGCAGGGACCATCTCTGAGGGACCAAATAGCTATACTTTTGTCCTTCTGTGGACTGGCTGGTACCTGGGGCAGGGGCAGGAAGAGGGAGGAAAGAGGGGTCAACAGCTGGCCCCGCTTTAAGAATTGCACAGGTTGAAGGAGAGTAGGAGGGTGGCTAGCATGAGTAGTGGAATGGTGATTCTGGACATTCTGAGATAAAGGTGCCAGGCCTAGGCAGGCACTGACTGGGTGAGGTGACATTAGTCACCTACCTCACACTATTACAGCAGCTCAGGAATGGGCCTGGGGCCAGTAGGCCCTCAGAGATGAACAGGTACTCAAGGACGGGGCCCAGATAACCCAAAGTCAGAGCCTAAGCCTTGTGACACTTTGCCCCAGAGATGGCCACAGGCTGTGATCACAGCTTCCATGAGGCAGGGGTATGTGGCCTGGTGGGACAGGTGTGCTGCCACCTGTAGGCACCAAATGGACACTGAAATCCTATCAGCCTGTGGTGCCACTGCCCCCAGCCTGTCCCCATCTCCAGACTACAAGACTATGAGTGAGCAGCCACCCCCCCCACCCGTTCCCCCACACTACCACACAGACACATCTTGTCTGACAGGTCCTTTCTGATATGCTGTCTTCTTCCTTGCTTTCTAGAATTTTCCAGAACCTCAGGCTTTCGCCTGATCCCTTCTCCTCCGAAGTACCCAATGCCACCCAAGTCAGGCAGCAGCTTCCCCAGGAGATCTGCTGACCTGTCCTTCAGAGGGCGTAGGCTTAGAGTCCTGAGCAGCCTACAGCCTAGCCTGGGTGAGGGGCCTGGCCTGAGTGAGAGGTTGGCTACAGTGACTGCCCTGAGAGCCCTGGAGGTGTCCTCAGGTCCCAATCATCGAGTCCAGGGATGTCCAGATGCAAATTCAGCCCTAGGTCCAAAAGCCCACACCTCAGGCATCCACTGCCTGCATCATTTGAACCCTATCCCTCCAGCCCATTGTCTCCCTTAGCATAATCCCTCTCCTGCCTGGGTAGGGCCAGGGCTCTAGGTTACCTACATGGCCCAAGTTCTGAGCTGCTTGCTACAGCTAGGGCCTCCGTCCCAGGTAGATCTGCAGGTTTCCTAAGTGGGGTGCTTTCTTTCTCCTGGGACACAAAGCCCTCTGAAAAAGCCAAGTGAATCATTTTCAACTCTCAGGTGTACAGAAATGTGCTTTACTTTGTAAGCAACAGTTGGTTCAATAAATTATGCAGCTGGCAATGCCTGCCTGGCCTGGCTGCCCTACAAGGGCCTGCATACTTCCTCGGTGATGGGAGGGCAGCAGAGGAAGCGGAAACCGTATCTGCTCTCAGCTGTGCTCTGCACTGATAGGGCTACCACAGGACAGCTCCGGTCCACGGTTTTACGACACACCTGCAGGAGAGACTTGAGCCTAAGAGGCATGTGGGCTGGGGCACACTAGAGAACAGTGGGGCATTAGCACTCAACTCACCCGGACCTTGTGCTCCTGCTTAGTCTGGGAGTCTTCCTGGCGCACCCTCCAGGCCCGCTCTGTGTGACAAGGATGCAGTGGGGCAGGCGGGTTGTGACTGCTGTCTGCCCTCCTTACACCCGCCCTCTGGGTGCGCACCTGGGAGCGCAGGCGGGAGCCTAGGTGTCTCATTCTTCCTCCCTTCGGGTTGGGCAGGGGCTTCCCCCAGGTGAAGTTTGCGGGTGCTCGGGAACGGCAAGATATCACACGTCACGGTGGGGCGAGGTCCTGGGGGCTGCAGTCCACTGGAAGCGGAGACATGATGCTGGTGAGGAACTGGCCTGGAGAGGTGGGAGGAGCCTGAGGGCTGTCCTGGTAAATTCCGGCACCCCCAGGATAGGACCATACTGGATAGTAAGGGGCAGGGTAGTGGTCCCGGTAGAGGCGCCTAGGGACATGGGAGACGGGTTTTGCGCAGCGGAATCAAGGGGCTTGTGCCCACCCCAGCCTCTTGTGCCTGGCCCCAGCCACTTGGGTGCGGCCCTTGCGCGGGGGTGAAGGCCTGCGTTGCTGCTGGTAGGAATCTGCATCAGGACAGGTCTCTGAGAGCGGGAAGCAGTCGATGGACAAGTCGGTGTTGTCCTCGAAAATCTTTGAGACCAGGGTCATGCAGGGAGTAGCTTGGTGCTCACCGAGTACCTGCAGGGCCCACAGGGACAGGTAGTTCACTCCCACCCAGCAAAGCATGCCCCAGCTCCTTGGCTGGGATCCATACTGACCTGGCCCTGAGAGTTCACAAGCAGCGTCACACAGCCTCGGCTGGACTGAAAGTGGAAGGGGTCCTGGCCCAAGGACACTGGCTGCTGCTTCTTGGTCCTGCTCCTCCCTTCGCCCCACACCTGGGAACAGAGGTGCCGGATGCTAGGTGAGGCTCAGCATGGGCCTAGGGTAGCAGCCAGCAGGCTCAAAAGCAAGAGCTCACCGTGATGTGGTGCTGCGGTGCCAGAAGGGTGCCAGGCGGGAAGCGGTACATGCACACAGGGAAGTCCCTCACCAGCTGCTGCAGCACAAAGCCACCCAGATCTACAGTCTCCCCCTGTGACTGGTTGAGGATACGGACAAACTTCTCTTGGTAATTCACAGCAGCAATCTTCAGGCAACAGCCAACTGGACTGGGGATGGGGAAAGGGTGTTGGGCAGGGAAAAGGAGCCCCACCTAACCAGGCAGCCTTTCCTGGGCAAGCCCCTCACTTTAATTGAGGCCTTGCATATTGGTGGTCAGGGTCTGCGAAGGGCTCCAGAACAGTCTTGGTGAGAGAGTGTGAATGGCTTTCATGCAGATCTAGGAAAAGAAGCTCTTTAGGGGAGGGAGAACCCCAACAACAAGAGTCTAGTGAGGATGTTCCCCAGAAGGCCAGCCCAGGGGTCTGCATGATAGTAGACAACAGGGTTCACATCTTGGGCAGGAGGGGCAGATCGGCCCTAGGGGCTAAAGGGCCATCTGATGTAGGACTCTGGGCAGACGTGAGAGTGCTGAAGGGCAGCAGAAAGATACACCCCACTCTACCTTCCACATGTCTGCTGAAGCTCCTGGTCCATGCCTGCATCTGCTCAGAAGAACCTATGTCTGTCCCTGGGATGGGTGGCCTGTCACCCACTTTACTCCAGAATGCAGAACTAGCTGGCTGCTGCTAGTGTCAGAGTCGGCACCCCCAGAGCTGTTGATGCCTACCAAGGGTAAGGCGCTCCACTCCAGGCTCTTGCCAGGTTTTTCCACATGCTTGACTGGGGACTCTGAGTCCCAGAGTTCCATTTCAGAAGACAAGTAGACCTGGGGCAGCCTGAGGCCATGATGTGCTCACTGACTGCCTCTGGCTCCCAGACCCCAACTCTGCCCCCTCCACCTGCCTCCCCAAGGCAACGGGCACCCTAGGTTATGCTCCTGGAAACCAGGGGTCCGACTTAACTTATGGCAAAATGGTGATGGTCCTGGGGCTCTTTCCCTTTGTCCTGAACCCATTGTACATATCAGAGCTGAGGGTTGGAAGGGATTACATGACTTGTCTGGGGATACTTAAGGATACAATGGGAACTGATTCTCTTCAGTCAAACCAAGTTCCTCCCTCCCCTGACCCCCAGGCTCTCCCTGTCCAATGCAGTTACTTTTTCTCCAAATGAAGACTCATTTTGGAGAAGAGGTTGGGGTATTGGTGGGCAACACTGTTCCAGTCTACATCTTCCAGTCGGAAACTCTGGTCAGGAAACAATAGGGATGTGATTCTCCCCTTGGCAGGGCTCCAAAGGCCTTATAATGCTTGTGGTGTGCCTACTGTAGATCTTGCTCACCTCCCCAGCAACAGAAGTCTCATCATTCTCAGAAGAGTCACTGAAGTCTCTTAGAACATCTGCAGTAACCACCTACAAGAAGAAACCACAGATCAGCTGGCAGGGAGATTGGCAGAAGATGTTGCTCTATAGCACCTTTTGGCTTCAGCAGCACTTTGTTAGGTGAAGAGGATTGCTGGCCACATGATTTCTCCTTATGGAGGCAGCCAAGGGAGACGAGGTTTCTCAGGCAGACCAGGAGCTCCAGAAAAGGGGCTGAAGAAGCAAGCTAGGGACTGGAGAGATGGCTCATCTCTTCTGGCTGTTCTTGAAGAGAACCTGGGGTCGATTTCCAGCACCCACATGGGGTCTAACAACTGTCTGTAACTGCAGTTCCAGGAAATCTGACACCCTCTTCTGTCCTCGGGCAAAGCAGTGTTAACTGGTGCATTTACATAAATGCAAGCATAACACTCATACAAATAAATGAATAAATAAATAATAAAAAAGAAGCAACCTGGCTGCTCAAGGAGTATTGGGGAAGGGTGCCTGGAAAGTAGTGGACCAGGCATAGAAGCTTACCTCCATGCTGCCAGTCTGAGACCGCAGCATGCGGCCCACCCAAGAGGTACGAGCCAGCTACAGAAGGCAGGACTTCTGAAAGGACTGAAGTTCAGCCTCCAGCCGCTGCATTGTGCAGAGGTTCTGTTGCAGAGGCCTCCAGCAGCCCCACCTCCCAGACCAGCCCCAGGTGGGAGCCTCTTGCCTCCCATCCCCTTACCAGCTGAGCTTGTTCCTTCTGTGCTTTCAGCTCCAGGGTCAGCTTCTGGACCTGATTCTGCAGGAACTTGTCTTGACTTTTGAGGCTCCTGGAAGGAGGGAGAGGTAATCTTAGCACTTCTGGGTCAGGCAGGGGTGGTTCCTGAGAGTAGGTAGTAGTAAAGAAGGCCCCATTGCCACCAAATCCTGAAGGCACACACTATGGCAGGCCAGGGCAGGTTAAGCCCTGGCAAGTCTGGGCAGGGGTCGACATGCTCAGGGTTAGGGTTATGTTTCCAGCACAGTAACTTATTCAAGGTTAGGGTGTAATGTCAGGTCATAAAAAGATTAGAGTTAGAGGCAAAGGTCAGGGCAAGGGTTGGCATTGGAGTCAGAAACTAGGAGTTACAGAAGGATAGAATCTGGGTTAGGCTGGGGACTTTGTCACTGACCGCTCAGGGGGAATCCCTGCCACCTCCTGTAGGATGTGGCAGTATTGGGTATTCTGACCCTTCTGCACTGCCCACCGAAGTGCCTGGATCTCCAGTTCTCTTTGTTCCCACAAGAGCTGCAGGGTGCGGGGGTCCAGGGTCTCCAGGGCCAACCTGCAATTCCAGTGCCCTGTGGTTTGATGAGGTCTGGTCCTCTGGCTGGCCCAGCCCAGGAGGCTGCCTCATCCCCTGCCTCCTTACTGATGATTTACAGAGCAGAACACTGGTATAGGTGTGCTCTAGGGCTTGGTGCTCTGGGGACACGAAGGAGCCACTGTGTCCACAGTTGTGCCAGCTGGGGGCCCCAGGTCACTGGTGACTGGCTTTACATCTGCTGGGGCCAGGGGCACCTGCTCATCTTCAGACTCCTGGCAAGATTTAGGGGCCATGCTCAATGTTCATCAGGAGCTGAGAAGGAAGAGGCAGAATGGAGTCAGAATGTCCCAGGTGTGGGAATATCATGGGGCTCTCTTTGTGTGTCAGAGAGGCCCAAGTGGCACTTGACAATTCATGGGGGAGAGGGGTGTCACTCTGAGGAAGCCCCACACATGTGTCTACCCCCACAAGACATAAGACTGCTGGTTACATGAATGTTATCTGTATGTTACAAGAGGTGACTCCCCAGACAGCAAGTGCACAGTATGTCCATGACATTCCCTATTGTAGCCAGGTGTGGTGGTACATGCCTTTAATCCCAGCACTTGGGAGACAGAGGCAGGGGGATCTCCTGAGGCCAGCCTGATCTTCTTAGTGAGTTCCAGGCCAGCTGGAGCTACAGGGAGACCCTGTCTCAAAAAGACCAAAAACAAAAACCACACACACAAAAACATTTCCTATTGTTTGCTCTCTGTCCCCTTTGCCACCAACCTAGAGCAAAGGTCAGAGGTGCTGGCCTTTTGCCGTTAACCCTTACTCATGTTTCCCCAACCCAGGGCCTAACCCCGACACTCACCTGAGGCCTGAACCCATAGAAGGCCTGGGGAGGGAAGCATTCTATATTGTTGCTATGGATTTTCCACACCCAGAAAGGAGGGTGGGGAGGGGCTGTTTGTTACCAGGAGTCTCTAGGCAGACTCAGTCCAGAGCATGAACATTCTGTGCCAGTCTGGTTTGGATATGTAAGAATCTAGATGACTACCCAGCTAGGTTGAGCCAGCCTAGGGTCCCACACAGACCCCGGGAGCCCCTCCCTAGCCAATGATGAGATAAACAGGAGGACAGTCCCCAGAAGACTCAGTGTGAGGGTAAAGGTGTGGGATAATGTAGATGGTATTTAAGAGATGATGGTGATAAGAAACTGGAGGGATTGCGCTAAACTGTTGCCAGTGGGTGAAATTGTGGCTGGTACTCATCTACCTAACCCTTGGAAGCCTTGCCTTTCCGTGTCTATCTCCATACCCCTGGGCTCTCCCCAGTGGTGGTCTCCACCAGGGAGCCACGAGGGCATTTCTGCCTCAGGACAAAAGTGAGGCGGAGAGGAGGAAAGGCCAGGCTTTGTCTACCTCCTACGTCCTTCTCTTCCACGGATTCATACTCTCTTCTTTTGCTACCCTATGGCCACAAGGGCTTGAGAACCTCCTCCTCCAGTTCCCTCTGACTCAGACAGAACAGGTAGCCGTGAGGCTGAGCTGGCTTGGACTAGTCCATCTGAACAGTAGAGATGGAGTAGCGGCCCCCTTAGGTACAGAGAACTAGACGCGCTGGCAGCTCGGCAAGGCAATGGGGCCATGGGGGGAGGGGAAGGGATGGCTCTTCAGACAAAGACCCCAGGGCCTTTGTCCCTGGCAGCCTCGGGGCCGGTCCCCTCCCCCACCAGGGCTGCAGCGCCCAGCAGGTCTTTCGGCCCCTAAAATTCCTCCCTCCAGTATGGGGGTTCATAGCCATCCAACCCCGGGTCCTCAGCTGCAGATTCCTAAGGGGCCAGGGCTGAACAGGCCCTACCCTACGGGACCGATGAAGGAAAGGAGGGCGGCCGTTGCCTGGTTGCCCCTTGGGTGCGTGCCAGGGTTGCAGAGTCTCAGCGGGCGGAGACCGGTCACATTGAAGGGCTGCTGAGGAAGTTCGCTCAGCAGCTGGGCACGCAGCTCACCGGTGCGGACCAGCCCGGAGGAGAACCGCAGCTGCAGACGCGCTTCCGCGTTGTTTGCCAGCGTAGAGCAGCCGGGAGCAGGCTCCGTCCCCACTCCAGGTCCCGCCCACGGAGGGCCCTGCCCACACCTGGGTGCCGCCGGGGCGGGACAGAGCGCCGAGCCAATGGGGCGGGGCGGGAGGAACGCAGCCAATGGGAGTGGGTATGGGGCGGGAGGCTCGCGCCCCCGAGCTAATGGGGGTGCGGTGGGGCGGGGCATGCGGGCCTCTGGCCAATGGGGCGGTGAGGTTGGGGCGCGCCGCGGCGCTGGGGCAGCAGGTTGCGGCGCCCCCGGAGCGCCCGAGTCCGGGTGGCCGGCGAGCGCCCAGGTGAGTTGTGCCGGGTCCTCCAGCCTCCCGAACACTGGGTGCGGCTCCCTGGTGACGGCTCTGACCCTGGAGAAGCGAATCTGGGCGAAGGGGCGTACGGCGGCCGTGCTGCACCTGCGCCACCCACACCCGAGGTGGGGACATCGGGGCCGGGCGCGGCCGGGGGTCAGTCTTGAAGGCGGGCCTTGCCTCTCGCGGGGCCGGACCACACGAGCTACAACCTCGGCCCGGCGGGAGGGACCACTGGAGTGGACTGGGGACTGACTGGTGAGGGGCTGCCCGGGCTTCGGTTCAGTTCGGTTCGGAGATGGAGGTCTGTCTGGGCTGTCACGCTCTGCTCCTCCCTGGCACAAGGCTGGACCCTCCGTGGTGGGGCGGGGGCGTTCCCAGGGCTGTGGGACTGCGTGGAGTTTGCGAACCCGTGTCGTTGGGTGCCAGGGCACGGCCGCCCGCGGGAAGGGGTAGTGGGTGCCCTTCCAGCCAGGTGACCCGGGGACAGGAAATCCTGGACCTGGTTAATGATTCCCCTCGTTCCGGGAGTGGGGGTGGAGCAAGAGGAGGCTGGTGAAGTAGGGGAAGCCTCCGAGTGCTCACCGGGGCCAAACTAGTTCCCGGAGCCACTCCAGGAATGTGTGGCCTGAGGGTGGGGTTGGGCACAGGAGGGCAGGGCTGAGGGGCCACAGGGCTGAGCCAGTTGTTGTGGCAGACCTGCAGCAGGAGAGGAAGTCCAGGCTGTGGTGGAGGCAGGCCTGACCTGACCCTATGGCCCTGTCCCTTCTCCACAGGACAGGGATGGTCTTGGAGCTGGTGGCCATGGAGCTGAAGGTGTGGGTGGATGGCATCCAGAGGGTGGTCTGTGGGGTCTCAGAACAGACCACCTGCCAAGAAGTGGTCATCGCACTAGCCCAAGCTATAGGTGAGTTCTCTGGGGACCGAGAGGCTGAACAGGTGGGGCTAAAGTCCAGCCCCATCTTCCCTCTCAAGGTGGGTAAGATTGGCTCTCCATCCCTTTTACCAACTCCTCTAGCTGGGTGGATAGAGAGGGAGGGGACATAAGTTGACTCTATCTCTCCCCCACAGGCCAGACCGGCCGCTTTGTGCTTGTACAGCGTCTTAAGGAGAAGGAACGGCAGCTGCTGCCACAGGAGTGTCCAGTGGGAGCCCAGGCCACCTGCGGGCAGTTTGCCAATGATGTCCAGTTTGTCCTGAGGCGGACAGGGCCCAGTCTGTCTGGAAGGCCCTCCTCAGACAACTGTCCACCCCCAGAACGATGTCCAGTTCGTGCCAGCCTTCCCCCAAAACCATGGGCAACAACAGGCCGTGAGCCACGCAAAGTACTGACCTTCAACCTAGGATGTCCCAAGCTGGCCCACAGCCCCTCAGTCCCTGAGCCTGCAACCCTGGCACACCTGCAGGGTCTGGAGCTCAGGGTGCAGAGGAACGCTGAGGAATTGGGCCATGAGGTCTTCTGGGAGCAAGAGCTGCGTCGAGAACAAGCCCGGGAACAAGAGGGGCAGGCACGCTTGCAGGCACTAAGTGCAGCCACTGCTGAGCATGCCGCCCGGCTGCAGGCCCTGGATGCTCAAGCTTGTGCCTTGGAGGCTGAGCTGAGGCTGGCTGCCGAGGCCCCGGGGCCCCCCTCAGCTACAGCATCTGCTACTGAGCGCCTGCGCCAAGACCTGGCCATTCAGGAACGGCATAGTGTGGAGATGCAGGGCAGCCTAGCCCTGGTGAGCCGGGCTCTCGAGGCTGCAGAGCATGCCCTGCAGGTGAGCCCAGGAGTTCTGGGCCCCTGCCACCTCCCTACACAGACATTCTGGGGGTCTGACATAGGATCAGACCAGGGAGTATGCTGTGTGTGGGGAACAAGGCCAATGGACGCCCCCATGACCTTGCCCCTGAGGGTCCTATATGCCCCCAGGCCCAGGCTCAGGAACTGGAAGAGCTGAACCGGGAGCTCCGTCAATGCAACCTGCAGCAGTTCATCCAGCAGACAGGGGCTGCATTGCCGCCACCCCCTCGGCTAGAAAGAGCCCCCCCTGGCACACAGGTCAGAGTTGTTCTGGGGAGACTGTGATGATGAGGGGGGCCACCGTAGCTCTCAGCTGACTTGCACATCCCACAGGACCTTCTGCCTCCAACCAGAGAAGAGCCCCTCCAAGGAGTGCCCCAGAGCTGTGCCCTTGTACCCAGCCTGAATCCTGAGGGTATGTCTTCCCCACCTGCACCTCAGTCCATGGGAAGGGCCTTCCTCTAGCCTCAGCCTGTTCAGCCTGTGTCTTCCCTACAGTTCCCCCCATGAGGCAGAGTTCCTGGAGGTAGCAGCTGACCAAGTGGGGCTCACTGAGGACAGGTGAGCCAGGACAGCAGAGATGAGCCACCTGGACGATGGAAGCGTCTGGACACAGGAGTCCTTCCCCACACAGGGGAATGCTGTGGAATCCTGGAGTTCCAGGGGGGCAGGAGTCTTAAGGGAATGTTGCCCTAGGCTTTTCCAAGTCTGCCAAGTCCCCAGAAGAAACAACGGGCACAGTTCAGAACTCACCGGTCCCTAAAGGCCACTACTCCTTGGTGGAGGAGGGAGAAATGTGGACAGTGCATTCATACTGTAGGTATGTGCCTGCCTGGGGACAGTGTCCTCCACTCTGTGTGCTGCCTTCCTACTCTGACAGTTAAACCTCAATAAACTACCTTTCAAAGGTGCTTAAGTGTGTTCTGAAGTTGCATTGGGCAGAGTCTGTGTGGTCTAGAACTGATGTCCACATGGGGGCCCCTGGGAGTACTCTGGACCACTTGAGGCTGGCTACTGCTAGGGTTCCAGAGAAAGTGTTTTTAGAGATTAGTGCTCAGTAGTGTCCAAGGCTAGGGCTCCCCGGGCCCCATATCCTGGCCTACTTTGTCCTGTCTATTCCTGGTGGTACTTCTTTGCAACCCCTAACCTCGGGGGCCTGCCAAGGTCAGCCCTGGCTTCAGTTTTTGTCTGGACCCTTCTTCCTTGGCTTTTCTTGTGTGGCCTGTGCCCTGCCAGCAACAGGAACTGAGGATGCCAGGACAAGCCAGACCTGCCTGTCAGGTTTGCTTAGAACTTGGGGCGAGTCCTGGACTCCTGGGTCAGATCTGTGACTCCTGGATTGGCCAGGTCCAGGGAGTTTTCCCCAAAGCACTTTGCCAGCCCCCAAGGTAGGTATGGCCATTGAATGGGTGGAGGCTGTCCCTCTCCTCCTGTGGTGGGTGTAAAGCCTCCAGCTCTGACACTGGGGCAGGGATGCTTCCACAGCCCAGCCCAACCACTACCCAGGCTCTTGAGCTGCTACTGGCCTCATCCAAAGTCCTGGTCACCTAGGCAGGCCACGTGTTCCTAGCTACAGCTGGGGCTGGAGGTCTTTGTAATTAACAGAACCATGGGTAGATTTGGGGAAGTCCTAGATTATAAGGGTCTTTGCACCAGATTAAAGGGGACAGCATTTATTTGGGAAGGACTCAACTTTCTCTTTGGGTTGCTCCTGAATTGGGTTCAGTGCTCCCCATTTCTTCTGGGGCAGACTACAAGGGGACATGGAAATCCTGACCTGGAGGAGCAAGTAAGCCATCCATTGGGCTAAGAACTGCTTAAGAGTCCTGGAGCCCACTCCTGAGGAACAAGGAAGGCTGTTTCTTGCCTGAGGCAGAACAGGGAAGGGAAGAGGCCAGGCAGCAGAGGGAGGCTCCTGATCAATTGTGTCAGCAGCCCAGCACTCACAGCTGACTGCTCTTGTCTGCATTCCAGCCCGATCCTGCTGCAGCCAAGACCTGCCTGACCTGTGGTCCCAGACAGGCAGGGCTAAGGACAAGGTCACACAGAGTAGACCTAGAGTACAGAGGCCATTAAGCATTGTTGTCCTGAGTGGAAAGACTAGGGTCTGGGGGACTTCCTTCCCCTCTCTGCAGCCCTACCCATGCTCAGGAGGGTTGAATACACCACTTGGCACTGCTCCTAAGCCCCCATCATGGTTCATCTCCCAAGCTAAATACACAGACTAGTGGATGCACTGCCAGGTTTCACCCAGAGACCACCACATACGGGGTGCCAAGCAGGGCTTGGCTGTGCTCTTCCTATCTGAGTCTCCCCCATGTTCTCTAGCTTAGATGGGAAGCAGATCCAGAGCCAACACACTCCACACACTCAGTGTCTGAGATGCACCTGTTATTCCTGAGGCTATCGCCCAGGCTGGGTACAGTAGGGTGCTGTTGCTGATGGCCCTGAAGAAGCTAGCTAGCCCTCTTCATCAGGCAGACACTGTTCTGGTGTAGAAAAGGAGGCAAAGCCCCCCTTCTCAGCAGCTATTTCATGTGGACAGGCTCCCATACCTCCAAAAAGTTGCTTTGGATCACCAAGCAAATCTCTGAGTTAATGAAAAGTTTACTTTTGAATTTTCAGCTTTGGAGACAATGGTGTGACTTGTGCTGAAGTAAAGAAGGGACAAGCTGCCCACAAATGTCTGGTCCCTGGCAAGGCAGGACCTGGCCAAGTGGGCCGCCCTACTTGGGTGATGCAGTCAAGACCCCAGCAGGTGTCAGTGTGGGGTAGAGAGTTATGACCACTCTCCCTGCCTGGACAGGCCAACCAGATGGCAGGACCAGTCTGTGCTGGGGCCTTTCCTACTCTGTTTTTGATTATCCCCAGTACAGAAGTGGAAATGAGAACCCTAATTCAGAGGGTCACCCTCAGTAAGTGGCTGTCCAGCAAGGCATCAGCTTTGCAGTCTCTACCAAGAGACCACACACATCCCCTCACCTGCAGAGCTTGCCTAGTTAGATACCACTGTGGTGACAAGACACGGTCCCTTCAGAGGACAATGTTAGTCTAGAGAGGTCTGGACTAAGCCTGCTTCTCCTTCTCCAGTGATCTGACTCTAGCCGGCAAGTGCCATAGAGCCCTCCTTTTAAGAGAAGGGACTGGACCTGCTGCGGGTGTCCTGGCCTTGTAGCCTGTAGCTTTCCTGGATATGTTTCTTTTCCATTTTCAGATGAACTTGAAAATATCCAGCTGCAGTGCCTTTGGGAGAGGCCTTTCCCTGGAACCCACAAAGAGATCCATAGGTACAGACTCCCTCACTGAAGCATCGAAACTTGTCACCCTCTTCCTACAGGAGTCCCAGAGGTGGCCCTCAGGAGGTGTGTCCTGCAGGCTGTGGTCCTGGTGGCTGAAGATCACACCTGTGCCAGCTGTTCTGGGCTTGATGATCTGGACAGTGGCTGTCCTGGGGGCTCTTCACATCCTGAAACCCTGGTACACACAAGAAGAAAGTTCCCTCCAAGAGGGTATCACACATAAAGGACAGAGAATCCCCTAGTATGTCCCTTGCCCAACCTGTCTCTGATGGTCTGTGAGGGGCAGACCTGTCCCAGTGTCCTACCCCTGCCTCTCTGGACCCAGGTGTCCACCCTCCATTCCAGGGTGGCTACCTGCCTGTCGGCTAGACTTGCGTGACGGAGAAGCCAGGGGTTCGTGCTGCCCAGGGACAGATCAGCCGCTGTCACACGCACAGTGGGTCAGGAGCAACGCAGTGTGCGGTGGGCAGTGGCTGTCCTGCGCCTGGAGGGGCCGCCAGGAAGGCGGGCAAGTGGAGGGGTTGCCCTCCCTGTCCCCGCCCTCCAGTTTGGGCAAAGGAGCCACGCCACCCTTGCCCCGCCCGATCCCCACGGTCCCCGGGGGAGGGCAGCCTCGGAGGGGCGCCCCTATCCGCCAGCCTTGTGCCGGTCCAGCTTTACCTGCGACCCCCGGAGCTGGGCCATCGCCGGCTCTTAGACCAACTTCGGTGGCGGCCGCTGCCACCCTCGCACCCCAAGCGGGGCCCCAACCGGGTCCAGTCGCCCCGCCCCGTATGCAAATAACATAGCCTGCAGCCAATGGCTGACCGAGTAGGGCCCGCCCTGCCAGGCCGCAGCCAATGAACAGGAGGGGGAGGCGGGGGGCCCCGCCCACCGCCGCGCGGCCCTCAGCAGGCGAGGCCGGCGCGTTCCTTTCTGCACGTCGGCCTGGGGAGGGGCCGCCACCTGCCGGGCGGGGCTTGCTGGGCACGGCAGGGCGGCCTCGCCGGGCTCCCCTCGACCCGGGGGTGGTACAGCCCGAGGTAGTCCCCCTCCGTCGTGCGGTGGTATGGCCCGGGCTCCCCCGGCGTCCGGCGCTGAGTTGGGGAAGCCGCCGGCTGCGAAGGTCTCCGCCAGTCCTGGGACAGCTGGACCGGGCAGGGTCCTCGGAGAGGCCGCCCCGCCCCCCAGCCGGTCCTACCGCGGAGCGGTTTGACCTCCCGAATCCCCCGGGGTCCGAGGACCGCCCCTCCTCGGGAAATTGCTGCACTCCCGGCGCACGTAGGCCAGGCAGGGACCGAGGAGGGGCCTGGGCGGGCGGGGACACTGTGCCCTCGAGACACACGTACACCCCTTGCTTGCGCCTGAGCCTGGAGGTCCCCAACTACACGTGGGTCCCTCTGACTCCGATGAGGGTTCTGGCTTTGTATGGCTTGTCTGGCGACCCCCCTGAGCTGGCTCTGAGGACCCAGGAGAGACTTACTCCCCTCCCTGCATACCTCCCCGACCCCAGGTGGTTCCTGAGGTGGACTCTTGGACATACAGTCCTTAATTACTCAAAGTGCCAGCTTCTTTTTGCTCCTGCGGGCAGAGCTCCTTTTGAGCCCTTTTTCCCTTCCCTGTCCGCCTCAACTCAACCAGTCTCCACACCTGCTTCAGACATACTGTGTGTTGGGTAGAGAAAACCAAGGTTGAGAAATTGCCTCCATTGGATTGGCCTGTGGCCATGTCCGTGGGACATTTTCTTGACTGAGTGATATGGGCGGGCCCAGTCCACCGTGGGCGGTGCCAGCCGTGGGCAGGTGATCTTGTATAAGAAAGCAGGCTGAGGGGCTGGAGAGGTGGCTCAGCGATTAAGAACACTGTTCTTGCAGAAGACCCGGGTTCAAGTCTCAGCACCCACATGACAGGTAACTTAACTCCAGTTCCAGGGGACCTGACAGTCTTTTCTGTTTTCCACAGACATTGCACAATACGGATCCACTTACCTACATGCAGGCAGTACACGCATACACAGAAAATAAGAATAATAATTTTTTTTTTAATTAAAAAAAAAAAAAAGAAAGCTGAGCAGCGGCCACAGCAAGCCAGTAAGCATCATGCCTCCACAGTCTGCTCCAAGTTCCTGGAGTTCTCCTGTCTTACCCTGATGATCGACTGTGCTGTAAGCCAATAAACCCTTTCCTCTGCAAGTTGGTATTGGTCAGTGTTTTTAATCACAGCAATAGAAAGAAACTAAAGCAGATACCCTCCCTTGGGAACAGTCCTCCCTTGCTGCAGACAACTCCAAAGGGACCCTTTGTTGTCCCTACCCTGTCTTTAGCTCAAGGATGTGTTCTGCAAGTTCCAGGCCAGCCTGCTGAGAGGGGGAGGGAGGGAGAGACGAGAGGGAGAGGAGAAAAAGAGAGAGGAGGAGGAGGAAGAGGGGAAGGGAGAGAGGTGGCTTGGTGGTACATGCCTGTAGTCCCAGCACTCAGGAGGCAGAGGCAGGTGGATCCCTGTGAGTTCAAGGCCAGCCTGATCTACATAGTTCCAGGACACTTAGGGCTACAGGGAGACCCTGTCTCAAAAAGACCAA